AGGCGCTCCAACACCAGAACGTCAAAGCCCTCTTCACCGTCACCAAAGATGCTCTTGCTGACCTGGATCATCACCGGGGTGGGCTGTGGACGTTGAGGCAAGCGTCCTCAACGTCACAAGTGTAGATGTTGAGCCCCTTCGCCAGGCAGTGGGAAACGAAGGAGTGAATCAAGGCCAAGGAGGTAGAGGGAGCGATCAGGTCCTCCGTCCATGCAGATAGGGTTTTGTACTCCCTCCCAGCCAACCGGCTCCTGCTTCATCCACTTCGGTCTCCGCCTCCAATCCCTCACCACCTTAGCGGTCAAGAGCGATTGCCCTGAGAGGGCCTCGCCGTCCTTGGGCCAGCGTGCCATGCCCATCTCAATAAGTCTTTTCAACTCGAGGCGGTCGGCCTCCCTGTCGATGGCGTTCAGCTCGTCTTCGGTGACGTCAGTGGGTCATCTCCGTCATCATCCCACCAAACTTCGCTTGATTCGGCTGCCTCCTCCCACTCATCTGCAGGCTGCTCCCATAGTCACACAACTCCTCGGGCATCATGTCACCATGCACGCCTCTAACACCAACAAAATTAGGTGGGTAGAGCTGGTCGCCGGGTGGAGTAGCTGAGCTTGCTGGTGTCGGCGACGTCCTTGGCTTGTCCAACAACAGCCGGGCTCTCTTCTGTGGACCATCACCAACTGGATCCCGAAGCACATCTGACACGCCAACGGCCGCACACGATTGCGACTGCTCTCCGGGTTCCTGTTGTGTGTTCTGCTGCTCTAGCTGGCGCTGCTGGCCTGTCCAAGGATCTTCGGGTTCCCGTTGTGTGTTCTGTTGCTCTCGCTGCTGCTGCTGGTCTGTACTTGCTGGTGCCCTTGAGCTAGTAGAGGAAGTGCTAGTACTCGTTGGTGAAGGTGGGTCACTTGCTTGCTTCGTCTCCTCCTCCTGGGGGCCTGCCGCCTCATTTGGCAGCGGCGATTGCCTCTGCCGCTGCTTGCCCTGCTGCCCTGCTGCCCTGCTGCCTTCGCCAACTGGTCCAGCGTCGCCGAGTCCGGGAGCAAAGGAACCCTTTATCCCTTTGGGAATACAGGCCTCGCTTCCTTCGGCCTCGTCCCAAGTAGTTCCAAGGAAGCCCCTTCATGTTCAAAACGGCCGTTGCGCTCCATTGCTGCTCCTCTGGTAATCGGCGCATGCTCAGGCTCTTCACTGCACCCTCGGCTGTCCCCAAGATGAAGGCATGGTTTCTTTCGTTGACCCCCAAGACCCCAAGAAGACACCCTTTGTCCATTGAAGCTCTCCTCGGTACTTGGTGGGCCGGTGGAAGATCACTTGCTCGCCGAAGACAACGAGCTTCCCTTTATACTTTCTCCCATGCAGCACTTCGAAGCTCGTGTGGCGCCACGGACTCCAACGACAAACCTGTTCATGATGAAGCTTGCGTGGCGAAGCAACCACACATAGACGTGCGTGCTTGTCCCCTTCCACCTTTGCTTTTGTCCGGGCCTCCAAAGAAGACTTCAAGGTGAGCCCGTTGCGCCTTTTCTCGGCCGGGCCGTTGCTCTGGTGCGACCCTTTCTCAATGAGGCGCTGATGGGTCTCCGGCAGGCCTCCACTGCATTGAGAAGTCGCTTGATTGCAGGCTCGGGCTTTTTCGGCTGACCTGAAGACAAAGCCGCACCAGCTGCTCCGTGACTCGCTTCAGTGATCCTGCGCCCTTCTCCCTGTCCGGGCCATTGGTGTCCGGGTCTTTGCTCTCTGGCTGCCCCGCCTCGGCTGGACAGCCCAGCCCCGCCTCGGCATCGGCCCGCGCTGCCTCTTCGTAAAGGTGAAGCAGTAGTCGATCTGGATCACGGGGTCCACGCGGATCTGCTCGGGAACCTTCTGGTCGTGGTCCTGCTGCCCGGGCTGGCACGGCGACTGTTTGCTGCGGCTGAGGACACAGTGTTCACACCATGCGAGGGCTGGTGCGTTACGCTCCTCGGCATCTCCGGGTCCCTGTTGCCCTCCAAGTGCATTCGGGTAGCCATTTCCGTCGTCATCCTCCGCTCCAAGATTTCTCTTTGCTGCCGCAAGCGTGCCAGGACCTTATTCTTACCCCCGCTCCTCGACAACCAAGCTGGTCGCAAAGGTTCTTTAGCGTCTGGAGAGGGGTCTGGACGCTGAGCTTGACCCCCTCCACGGAGTCCTCCTCGTTCTCCTCCAGCTCCATCTCAACCGGCTCCTCTTGCCCCTGCCATCCACATCCGGCATGAAGGGAGCCTCCCCGTCAGTTTTCACCCCTGGGGTTGCTAAGGAGGTCCTTCGCAAGTTCCTCCACATGGAAAAAGAATTGCAACATCCCTCTTGCCCTCTAGGTCCTCGTCGAGCTCCACAATCTTCTGCGAGACGCCCTCATAGTCATGGCTCTTGAGTGTGAGGAGCTGCACCCACACATCGCCCGGTTGTGGGCGCGTCACCTCTTCCAGCCGGATGAAGACGACCACCCAGCTCCAATCATCGGCACTCTAAACGGACTGCTCGAGGTTGAGGTCTTCGGTCTTGTGACTTGTGAATAGAGAGCAGAGGCAGCCGGCACTCTGCTTCCTTGGCCAAGCGGCCAAGGTCATCAGAGGTGTCAAGCGGCCGCACCAAGGCCGGGGCGGCGCTTTCTGCAAAGGCTCCAGCCACCACAAGGTGATGGGCACCTTGTGCGCGTCCTTCTCGATCACGGGGCCGCCGTTGCGGCGACCAAGCTGCCACCCCCACCGCAAAAGCCGACCCAGGCTCATGATCATCGAGCCGATCTTGGCGATGGCAAAGCGCTCGCGCACCATCACCTCCTCGCCGCTCACCGTTTTCATCAAGACATCAATCACGCTCTTCCCTTGCGCGTCCTGCATTCGAACCCCCACGGAGCCCGAAGCTTTGCCATAGCCTGCCACAGAAAGGGGAGCGACTGAGACGTCCGCCCCCAAGCCAATAACCACTTCCACCTCCTTTGCCCTGCTAACCGCTCCCACCTGCAAGGGACCGGGGTCGAGTCCCGGCTCAAAGCTCCAATCGTCATTGCTGTCCGTTGCATCCATGGGGTACACCGGGACACCCCGCAAGTTCGCAAAGGAGGCCTCGGGCTCAGCCAGGGTGCCAAAGAAGTCCTCATGCATCTCCTTGTTGAGGCTGGGGAGCCCAGGCACGTCCCCTGGCTCTAGCCCAAAGTCGCCCTCATACTCGTCGGTCAGGTCAAAGACCTCTGTCACCCTTGGGCAAGCTTCCTCGGCAGCCCCAAGGCCACGGCCACCATGTTCACCGAGGCTGTGCTTCCCCGGCACACTGGGGCAAAGGGAGGCAAGGAAGTCGAGGAGGTGCTTGCTGAGGCCACGGAAGCGGCACAGCCTTGGCTTTGCTCAATCTGCTGCACCTTGTCGCCCTTCTTGCCCTTTGCCGCCTCTGGGCATTCCCACTTCCAGTGGCCACGCTGCCCGCAAATTCTGCAGGCATCGCTGACCCAGCTGTTCCCCCAGCCGCTTCCATACCAGGGGCTCCATTGCTTCTGGTAGTTGCCCTGGCCATCTCCAGCTCCTCCTTTTGCGTCGCTGCCCTTTCTGTCCATGCCCTTGCCTTTTCCATCTTTGCCGCCTTTCTTTCCTTTTCCGTCCTTGCCGCCCTTCTTGCCGCCAACGCGGTCAATCTCCATCGCTCGTGGGCCGCCGTCGTTCTTGTACCTGCCGCTGGAAGTGCCGCCGGGTGTGGTAGTCGCCCACGGAGTGCTGAGGCTTTCCCATTGTAAGATCCATTCTCGGATCTCGCTGTACTTTGTACCAGGACCCACGCGCAGCTGCAGTTGCGACCGCAGCGGTTCTTTCATCCCGGTCAACACCGTCGCCAAAACGAGGTCTTCAGGGAACGTCTTTTGCGAAGCTAGTTCATATGTCTTCAAAGCCTCTTCGTATTTCACCAATTGTTCGTGCCACCCCGTCCCAGAGTCAAATCTCCAGCTGGCGAGGCTCCGCAGTAGAGCTTCCGCTGTTCCATTTCACATTTGAGCCGCCTCACAGCTTCGTAGCCGCACTTCGTTCCGTCCAGGCTTTTGATCAACAGGAGGGGTCGCCCTCTCAAGAGCGAGCAGAGCAGCCCATACAAGCGCTGGCTCCTGCTCACAACATCGTCCGGGAGGAGGTCGTGACACACCTCTGTGTCCAAGTCCAGGTTCCGAAGATCCTCTTCGTAGTCGGGGCCGTTCGCTATGAGGCAGTTCGTGAAAGTAATCCACAACTCTCGCCAAGCACGAAGTTCCTCCTCTCGGCTCCCGGGCTTCCACTGGTCGGCTTTCAATTCCTTTGCCAAATTTTCACCCTTCTGGTATGCGGCGTTCGCCTCTGCAGCCTTGGCTGCTTTTTCATTCGCCTCAAGCAGCTACCCAGAGACTGCCCCAAAGGCCTGCTCCATGCGCTGCTTGACCGTGCGGTCGATCATCTCGGCTCCGGCCCCTTGGCTCCCACTTGGCTGCTGCTGTGCTTGCTGTTGCGCCTGCTGTTGCGCTTGCTGTTGTGCCTGCTGCTGCGCCTGCTGCTGCGCACCATCCATTGCACCAACCACCATGGAACAAAGTTGTGACCTCGCTCCAGAAAATTCCTCTTGCCACGGCCCGACCAGTTGAAACCAGCCAGCTCCACTCCTCTGGAAAACCTTCTTCCCAAGCCCACCAAAACTGCAAACTGCCTCTAAGGGCTCCGGGCCTGCCTCACTGCAACGAGGTCTTACGGCAGTGCGGTGGGTCAGTGGGCAGATCGAACTGCAGCCAATGAAGAAAAACAGAAAAGCTCTTATTGGATGAAACAAGATGCACCTCAAGGCCTGGGGCCTAATTCTAGTGGAACCTTGAGCCACGAAGGCTCCGCTACCATGAAAAACACACTTTTCACCTGATCTTCAGGGCTGCGGTCGGCACATGGACAGTGCGAATGATCCTGTCGAACATGTCTGCACAACTGGGGTTACCCTGTCACATAATCAAAACAATTAAAATCAGCCTTATATTTTCACATTTTAATTATGTAAACTATGTATTTCTTTGAATACAAAGGAATAAAATAGAAGCGCCAATAGACTCTAGAGGCAGCTCTCTCTCTCATATACATATATATATATGCAATATTGATTGATTGACTAGCTTCACTCACCCTTGGTCCTCCGATGACAGACCAATCTCCTGCAGGAACTCCACAACCGTCAGCTCTCGCACGGCAGACTGGATAGGTTTGAGCTCCTCCCACACCTACCAAGTTTGAAAGTCAGTCAAAGCAAGTTCTACATATCGCTTAGCCATGCTTCACGTTGCGTCTTTATTCTTGACTACACGGGTCGCCTGTTGGCGGCATCTGCTCAGTGTAGATTCTCTGAACACAATTCAACACCCCCACTAGCCAAAAAGTTGAGAAATCCACTTCTTCTCAGTGCCTCCCAGGCCATGAGACCAATGCTCTTGAATTGGGCGTTCGCCCAAAGGAGTATGCCAGCATTCGCACCCAGCCACGCACCAAGCTTCCTCCGTTGAAGGGGCTTCGAGTTGGAGACTGGCACTGGAATGTCACCATTGCAAAACAACGTGTCCAGTGATTACGCACTCCTGCTGGCAAGCGTCAGCGGCTTGTCGTACAAGCTGAAGATCAGGACGGCCATGGACATGGTTATGATGAGAACACAAAAGTTGCCAACCTGGGTGGCCAATAAGTGGGATATGCAGGTGAACTTGATCTTGATCCGTCTCTGGATCGCCGCCTTCGCTAACACAGACCGCATGTGAGCCGCCAGACCTGCGGATACCAGGAGCTCCGTGCTCGCTGCCACAATGGAGAAGCAAGCGATCAAAGGAAGACCCACCTGTGAGGGCTAAGGGTGAGGTCTTTCGGGTTTAGTTTAGGGTGTGGGCCTTGGGGCTTCAGGGTTTGAGGTTTGAAGGCAGCCGAGCCCAACCCACCTGCTGACCGGCCAGAACCCATTTCGTGGCCAACAATCCCTGCGAAAAGCTGCTTGCAATCCTCGGCGGAACAGCGGAACACGCGGCTCAAACGACGGGGAAGGGCCACTTGGGATCTCCAGCTAGCATCTGAGTCCAACCAAGTTTCTGAAGAAGCACATTCACCGCCGCAAACAACAGAAACCTGAGCTGTTTCCATGACGCTTTTGTGGCAGGACTGACTAGCTCTTTTTGGCAAGACTATACCGAACAAATACTATCATACTTAGGGCTGCATGTTGTCAAGTCATGGGTAGTCTCACCTTCGCCTCTGTGCTCTACACCCGCGGTATGGCATAGGCATAGGTATCAGTAAGGCAGCTGAGGATTCATACTTTCTCCGTCAATCTCGGGGATGGCCGCACATCGACTCGCTCGCATGACATCAGCGGCCGTGAAGATCACACGAAACAGCAAACCGAGCAAAGACCTCAAAAGCGTGGTAAGCAGTTTGGCAGCATCTGTCAGGCTATTACGCAAATGGGGCCAAAGATCTGCTATGCTGGCACTGGCCTGCTAGCATTGTTCCAACAATTTCGACCTACCTACCACATCTCACGAAATCCAGGAAGTATCACAAGCAAAAAACGTCCGCAAAGTCAGCAGGCCCGGCGACAATGCCAACATGATGTAGAGGATCTGGTCGCTGGACATGTTGGACCAGGTTTGCGATGTTTCTGGCGCCGAAGAGTGTGACGCATGCGTAGGCAGCACCGAGGCTGGCGTCGTGGTCAGCAGCGACACTTCCGCTCGAACCATGGCCCCAAGTAACGAGTTAGCAGGTGAAACTCAACCTGAGAAGAAAACCCAGGACGCTATTGTAATCACAGAGTCTCAAGTACTTCTGCGCATGGTGGCCTTGCCCCGAGTGCTTGCGCTGCTCTAGAGAAAATTGTATCGAACCTGAACAGAAACACGACTCGGCTTGCATTAAGTAACTTCTCATAGCTAAGATCAGTTAAGTACGGCTGAATTTGATGTTGAGTACAAAACAACATGTGCACTCCACACTAGTCTATTGCCGGAACGTTAATAGTTACTAGTTGTGATTTGTGTGAGAGAACACAAGTAAACGTGCAAACAAGATACAATTCTCGCTTGTTAACACCATGCACAGGTTACGTACCTGGTGCAATATGTTGAAGAATAAGTAGATGTCAACACAAATTTAAACATGAACCAGTTCTTGATACAGACATAGGAAAAACATATTATGCACATATCAAGTGCCTGACAAGACTTAAATTTCAGTATTATAAAAAGACTAGCTACATCATTGTTAAACTGTTAAACTACACGATCGCCACTTTGAAGTATGTAAGCAGGTACAAACACGTAGCAAATATCAATTGAGCAGCACCGAAAGAGTAATTTACGGTTGAAAAATCAGAAAGGGGCCATCATATACGTGATTGACACGTATATGGGATGACAATAGTGCTCGATTGCGTACGCATGGTGACCCCAAATTCACCGTGAACTCGACATACCGGTTCCTGACAGCAAAGAGGGGGCCAACAGGGTTTCCTCCGGTGACCCCTCTGTTGACTTCGTTCTTCCGAACTGAGGCATGTTTGCGTAGTCTGTAAAGAAGGAGGCCCAGGCCTGAAGCATCTCACATGTGCGTTTTGTGTGAACAAAGGTCACCTCTCAATTCGATGCCATGGCACTCCGTTGAACCTGCACCCAACTGAAGACGATATCCCAGGTTGATCCCAGGTGCAGAGTTTCTCACAATGGTAATGGATATAGTACTGCCAGCTGCCACGACGACAATAACAATAGTGGCAGTGGTAACTAGTGATTACAAAGATACTCACACCCGTAGCTCTTGACAACAATATTTAGGAACCAAAAATAAAACTACTACGTAGCAGTAATAAAAGGTAGTATTAGTATTACATACTTTCAGTGATGATCATAGTGAGAATGATACGTAATAATGAAAGTCATGACAAGCAGCAGGTTAAATGAACAAGAGAGGAAGTATTCTCAGAGTAACATGAAAGCAGTTGTATTGATGGTGAGAGTAAGAGCAATAACAGCCTTTCTTGTGCAGAAGCTGGTGCAGATTTGGGAGTTTAGAGGTCCCCATGGGAGGTCCTTACAATAGGGAACTTTACGATGGGGTATTTTACTATGCAAGACAGACCTTAATTGAGACTTGTACATGTAGGATGCGCTGGAAAAGGATTGTGTGTAGTCTTGCCTTTGAAGGCTCTTGTAAATCTCTGTGCCACCGGTGGACTTGACCGTGTTTCAAGAACTAATTGTCATGCCTTCTGGAAGCGTAGTGTTCGACAGAGGATGGGATGGAGCACCTGGCCCAGTCTTCGCCTGCAGGCAGTCGGGAATGTAGAATCCATCCAAAGCTCCGTTGATATCAACTTCAAGTGTGTAGGCAAGGATTTGTACAGGAAGCATTGGCACACATTTAAGGTCGCTTTGACATAGAGGTTCTGTGTCTCGGCTTGTTGGATAGCCAGCCCTGCAACCTCCAATGAAAAACTCAGGGGTTAGGTGTTTGGGGTTCGAGGGTGAATGTGGCGTCCCAACGGCGTTGATCCAGAGGGTGTTACTGCTTCATGGGTGGCTTCCGAGTGCTGTTGTTTGTTGTGTTCTTTCGAATGTACAAGCTGCAAGGACAACGTATTCAATTCAAGATCTCACGCATAACTTGTGCACATGGAGCTGCGTTCACGGCATCAGTCACGACAGACAAACATCATCGCTCCTCCTTGACTCGAGCCTGCGGCTGGAGTCACCTCTTGCGAAAGACTGGGTGACTCATGTGTCTTTCCATAGCGCCAATCTTGCCAAGATCAAAGTCCGAGCCGGTAGCCAAGTGGGCCCTTGTTAGTTGGATTCCTCCCGACAGACATCGAGGAGACACGAACGAGACAGAGAGGAAACACAGAAGAGAAACAGAGGAGACACAAAGTAGACACAGAGGAGACACAGACGAGATACACAGGAGACACACAGGGGACGCAAGGAAGACACAGAGCAGACACAGAGGACACACGGAGGAGCACACAGGGGACACAGAGGAGACACAAAGGAGACACACAGGAGACACAGAGGAGACACAGGGGAGACACAGAGAAGACACAGAGGAGACACAGAGGAGACACAGAGGAAACACAGAGGAGACACGGAGGAGACACAGAGAAGACACAGAGGAGACACAGAGGAGACACAGACTAGACACAGAGGAGACACAGAGAAGACACGAAAGCAGCAGCGTGTTTCCGCACCGTGGAATCACCGGGAATGCAACTTTACAAAGAAAAGCAAGCAAAAAGGTCTTCGTAGAAGCAAAACAAAGCCATTTCCGAGCCTTTGAAGCAATTTTCGAAAATTTTCAACAACTCGCTTTTGAGGCATTTTTGGTAGCGGTTTATTTCCAGTTCCTCTGTAACACTACGTGCGACTTCAAAAAATAAAAACTTCTAACCTTCTGCAAGCGCCTGAGGCGTTCGAGGAGCACGCATGCGCCGAAAATTATGCAAATTGAGGCCACCAAACAGCAAAAAAACCTTCTCACAGCCTCCAAAAATGCATACTAAGGCCTGCTCGAGGCATTCTAAAGGTTTCGTGCGAAAAAAAAAGAAGGTGCAATTCTGCTACTGTCCAACGTAGCAACTTTTTGAGCAAAATTCACCAAAGAACAAAGCCTTTTTCCACTTCGGACTGTGTTTCTTCTTCGAGATCTTTAATAGTGCTTCAATCTGACCTGATGAGAGCTGAAAACGACGAGCATTGTCAGAGAAAGTCTGATGACTGCGCGCTTTGTGCGGAAAGGTCCATTTCGGAGAACTGACTATGGATCAGAGTGTGCCCGTGCCTGACCCACCTCCCGAGGAGGAGTTCAACCTTTTTGGTCCGAGACCTCCCCAGCACCTGCAACCAGTGGTGCGACAGCGACCCCTTTGTGTCAACCGAGGGACCAGCCTCGCCACACAGACAGACACAGACAGACAGAGAGAGACAAAGAGAGACAGAGAGAGACAGACAGAGAGAGAGAGACAGAGAAAGACAGAGAGAGCCAGAGAGAGCCAGACAAAGCCAGGAGCCAGACACACAGACACACAGAGACACAAACACACACACAGAGACAGACAGCTCTTCAGCATACACAAGCCCACACAAGCAGCGAGACACACACAGACACAAGCAGATATAGATACAAACAAATACGCATACCCACACAGACACATATACACACACGTAGACAGACAGACACACAGTCACACACAGATAGAGAGACACAAACACAGACAAACACACAGACACAGACAACAGAGACAGACTGAGATACACAGAGAAAGACAGACAGAGACAGACAGACCGACAGAGCGAGACAGACAGGCACAGACAGACAGACACAAACAGACAGACACAAACAGACGGACAGACACAGACGGACACAAACAAACAGACACTGAGACACAGTCAAGACAGACAGACAGAGACAGACAGA